AGGGGGTCATCGGGAAGGCGAAAGCCTCCAAATCTATCGGCCCCGACGGAATAAGCATGCTGATGCTGAAACATCTTGGACCAACGGGAGCAGAATTTCTCGCGAGGGTCCTCAATCTGTCTTTGACCACCCTGAAGATACCCGACGTGTGGAAAATGGGTAGGGTGGTCCCGCTACTAAAACCGGGGAAACCAGCCAACAAAGGAGAGTCCTATCGGCCGATAACTCTCCTCTCCCCAGTAGCGAAGACACTTGAGGCCTTACTGCTCCCGACCTTCACTCACCATCTGCGTCCAGCAGCGCATCAGCATGGCTTCCGAAAAGGGCACAGCACCACAACAGCTCTTAACGCCATAAACACCCAGATAGTCCATGGCCTCAACCAAAACCGACCCTGCGCGCGAACTGTCCTAGTGGCACTGGACTTGTCAAAAGCTTTTGACACAGTCAATCATTCAGTGCTGCTAACGGAAGTTGAGGAATCCTCATTACCGCCGGGGTTGCAGAGGTGGGTCATGGGCTACCTGAGTGGTCGACAATCATCGGTAATATTACGAGGTAAGACATCTAAACCCAGAAAAATTAAACAGGGGGTTCCGCAGGGTGGTGTCCTCTCCACGCTACTGTTTAATTCTTACATATCGAAACTCCCTCCACCACCAGAAGGAGTTTCCCTAACCTCGTATGCCGATGACTGTACGATAATGGCGTCCGGCCAGGATATTGATGACCTCTGCTCGAAAGTAAACGGCTACCTCGCTGATCTCTCCCACTTCTTCACTGCAAGACAATTACGAATCCAACCGACAAAATCCTCGGCTACCCTTTTCACCAGCTGGACGAAGGAGTACAGGCTTGAACTGGATGTAAAGGTCGATGACGAAAAAATTCCGACGATAAATAACCCAAAAATATTGGGAGTAACTCTAGACAGCCTGCACTCCTTCACTCCGCATACGACCGCAATTGCCGCAAAACTCCAGAGCCGCAACAAAATACTCAAAGCGCTAGCCGGCAGCACCTGGGGTAAAGATAAAGAAACTTTGCTGGCTACTTACAAAGCAATTGGCCGGCCGGTCGTAAACTATGCTGCACCGATCTGGACGCCGGGGACGAACGAGACGCAGATGAAGAAGCTACAGGCTTTCCAAAACACCGCCCTCAGGACTGCGACAGGAAACCTCCTGATGTCGCCGGAGCATCACTTGCACAGGGAAGCATCTATGCTACGAGTTAAGGAGCATAATGCTTTGCTGTGCAAGCAGTTCCTACTGGGATGCTACCGCAGGGAGCACCCCAGTAGGCACTTAATAGAAGCTGAACCTCCACCTAGGCACATCAGGAAGGGAGTACTAGACTTCAAGGACACGATCCAGCAACACACACAACAACCGCTGGACAGGACGGCGTATCGACAAGCACTGAACGCCATTCACCAGGAGTCAGTTAACGCCTTCATGGACTCCCTTCCAGTGAATGGCATACTCGGAGAAATACCACCACCCATAGCAGACAACGAGCTCGAGCTGCCTCGAGAGACCCGCGTGACCCTGACACAACTCAGGTCTGGATATTGTAGCAGGTTAAACTTCTACCTATCCAGACTAGACCCCAGCATACCTAACGTATGCCCGGCATGTGGAGAGTCCCCGCACGACACTAACCACCTCTTCACATGCCCCCTCAAACCTACTCATCTAACCCCCCCTCTCCTTTTGGTCCAACCCCGTCGAAACATCTCGTTTCCTGGGCCTACCATTAAATGACCTCGGCGACTTAGACTAATCAAGCCTGTGCCTAAGCGGGGTTAGCGAGTGGAAACATAACTATTCATCAAGGTCATTATGTGAGAGAGTTGCTAAAGCGGTGGCATATGGAAGATTGCAAAGGAGTAGCGACTGCATATAGTTGCGGGACGGTTCTTAACAAATGTAATATACAGATTTTAAAGGCTATTTGACGCAACAGTACATGTCTCTTATTGGTGTGTGACTAATTTCGAGGCCAGATATAGCACAAATTGTGTCCAAGCTGGCTCAATTCAACAGTAATCCGCTCAAGGAACATTTTGTTGCAGCCAAGCGTGTTCTGCGATATTTAAAGCAAAAACCAAAGGGTTTGATAACTTATGAAGCTAACCATCAAAGCTTAATTTGTTTTTCAGATGCTGACTGTGCTTCAGACTCTACACATCGCAAGTCGATTAGTGCATTCGCAATGTTTCTAGGCGATGGGTTGATTGCGTGGGAGTCAAAGAAGCAACATGTAGTTTCTCTTAGTACAATGGATGCTCAATATATTGCTGTGTGCAATGCAGCTAAAGAAATATCGTTCATAAGAAGCTTATTATCAGAAATGGGTTTTAAGCAATATGTTAAAGATGCATCCAGAATTTTTTTCGACAATCAGAGTGCACAGTTTGCAGTCAAAAATCCTGTCTCACATAAGCGGAGTAAACATATCGACATAAAGTTCCACTAAATACGTGAGAAGTACGTCAAAAACGAGATCGATATTGACTACATCTCGACGGTGCAAAATGCAGCAGATATACTAACAAAACCTTTATCTTAAGATACACATAATAATTTATGTAAATTGTTAAAAATTGATTTTGTATAATGAAATTTAGAAAAATGAATTTGTATTAATTTTGTTATAAAAAAATAAAGGAAAAATTAGTTTGGCGAATCGCATTTGGGTTGAGGCGGAACTTGTAAAAAAATACATATCTAATATATGCAACATAGGCAACCCGAATACGATATTACTTTTAGTACATAAGCTCAATATAGTTTTCATATTGTAACTGCATTATACATTTTTCACACATAACTACATGTGGCTATAAAATGTAGAAACAATCTGAAAAAATTTCGACTAAATGCAACACTGCCGTAGTTTCGGTACCAGGACACCACAAGCACGGCAGACGAACTAGTGAGAGAAGAAGCTCTTCGATCCAAAATGAACCATGTGCACGATGCAAAGAATATTCTAGGACTTGCCTACAATTATAATGATTAGGAAGATTCCATGAAACACTAACACTTTTTTGTCTGCCACGCTGGTTCGAACATTTAAGAAAGTGAATATAAGACCTTCGCAAAAGCGGTACCAAAATAGGCATATTAGGCTAAGTGCTTTGGTCACTGATTAATAGCCGTATCAATTAAACTCAAATCAAAAACAATTTATACAATTAGAAATTAAAAATAATAATAACAAGAAAGTAAAAGTTTAAACAAACATACGAAACATAAACAAACATTTCGATAGCCCTGACACTGAAGAGAATTAATTAAATGAAATAAGTTAAATTCGCGTGGAGTTATTAGTCCACGTTCTTAATTTCACCTTGGCAGTAGCATGATACATTTGTTTATTCACAGCGAACTAAAAATATTTATAAACGTCAACAGATTTAAAATTTTCAAAATCCAATTATTCATTGCTGGTTTTTTCCTGGTTTTCGTATTTTCATTCTCTCATCGCAGTCGGCTTTATAGATATCTGATATTAAGCGTGTTTGGTATTTTTATTGCTTCCATCGGAGAGATCCAAAGTGTTTCACTTACGTTACAGTTTATTGAGCCTTAGAGCAGCAACCATACCAAAATAAACATGAAAACAAGGCGAATTTATCAATTACTAGAGCTGCGAAGTCAACTTTTTTCATTTAATTAATTCGCTTCAGTATGAAGGTTGTCAAAGTGTTGGTTAATATTTTTTTTTTTTTTTTTTATATTTTGCTTTTTATTTGTTTACATTTAATTGGGATTTCTAATTGAAAAAGTTAATATTTTCAAATTAATTTTTTTCTTTCCAAATAAAAAAGATTGACCGTTGCTGAGCTGTGTTGATACTGTTATTAATCAACGCACTTAGGTCGAGCCATTTCACGTGTGTATGGAAAGCAAAGATATTACCAATTCTTACTGAAGCTAGCTAAGCAAGCCATTCAAAGAAGTCATAGTGTTCAATGGACTCTTTCTATGCGGCCACAATAATTGGAGTAATAGCCTATTTTCCCGTGAATCCCCATCGAAAGGCTATCTGTTATTGCACCCGTCGTTATGCTAATGGATAGCCAGTCTAGAAGGATTATAAGTTTAGATTTTTTCGCGTCCAATTTGGCCATAGCTGTCTGGTTACGTTGCACGTTATCTCATTCTACCAACTAATGTTTGCATTTTTTGCAAAGGTCAAACATAGAATATACTTTGCCATGGCAAAGGTAAACTTTCATCCTGTGCATGGTTTGTTGTGGATAGAAGAGTTCCTTTTTTCAAAACGGCTCAAAATCTGTAAAGATGGGTATGACCTCTTGATCGCGGATGTTTGTTTTTTCCCATTCATTCCAATTTGAAGAGATTGTCTAAGCAATCCGTTGTGCTTTGTATGTACATATGTAAAACGGGGTGATTTATAATTTTTCCAAGCTCCACAAGATGAATGATCTACCTCTTTCCGGATTCGTGAAATACACTATTTTTTACAAAAAAAAATCACGTTTATATTATAGTTAAATATAATATATAATACCCTTCCAAAGAAAGAGCTAGTAAGAAGACACTCCATAAAACTAACTAGAACTACTCAACTTTGAATGCCATTTAAATTAGCAAACATTAATTCTTATGCTCACGACGTCAATTTTAATTTTTGTTTTTTTCTTTTCTGGCATTTGTTTTGAAATATTGATTCAATTTTACAAAAGCGAATTGTATGAACTTGCCATGACTTTGACCATTGCTACACTGAAAACAAAACCAAAAAACACGGTAATTGTTGAATTGTTCTCCTGCTCTCACCTTTATGAATTCGCCTTTCATGAAAATGGGACTCTTGGGAATGGGTAGCATAACCTTTTGCTGTCAAAACGACTTGAAGAGGACGTGGCATAGATTCCACTAATTTCTAGCAAATCCATCCTGTAATTGTTGCGGTTTTGAGAAATTAATTGAGTTGAATCGGCTTTAATATACTTGCCTGGCCAATTGATCCATATGACGGTCAAGTCAAAGCTTCGCAGCTTTGGAAGTATGTTCTGGATCGTTGCCTTGGTAAATAGCAAAGTTGCCTTCGATAACCTATTTCGTTGCACTTTGGCTTTAATTTATCGAGATACGGAAATCTTTTCACATTTTCTTCAACAAATCTTAAGTTTTCATACAACATCCTTCCATCGCCAAACGTTGCTTCTACCATCAGAAACTTACTTTGATCGGTAAACAAAACTGATAGTATTACATATTAACTCTAGAAAAGAGTGACATGGATTATCGTACGTGAGCATTTTGATAACATATTGAATATATTCAGTTTAGTTTGTGTGCATATGTATATATATAAAGTGTTACATATTTAAATTTTAACAAAATACCATTTAATAATTAATTTTTAGCGAAAGGTACACAGGGTAACAAGTGGTGCAACGATAGAGAACTTAGAAATTGTTTCGATTAAAAAATTTTGTGTGCTAAAAGCTTCTAGGGTTCTAGGATTAAGACAAATATTTCACTTTAGTTAACGTTAAATCGTCTCTTCTTTTGATATGTATTCCTTAGCGAATTTCAATTGCATTGCTCTATTTCTGATATATGGATTCGCATAATTATACTTATTCAATATTGGGTGCTCATCATGGTATTTAAGTTTTTCTCCTTGTTCGACAAGCGAATTTTTTGGCATATCGCGACCTAATATTATACACAATGGAACAGGGTTTTCTAGTATTTTTCTTCGAGCCTTTACGAATGATGCCCCTTCTGAAAGAAGTTTCACAATTTCTTGCCGCTCTTTAAAGCTCGCTTGCGTTCCCGGCGGAGCCATTTTACAAACCACATTAACGAAACACACGATGAATATGAATACAAGGAGGATTCATGACAGAGACAAGCATACTTTAATTCGAAAAAATAACGGTGTGCCATTTTGCATTTTACATTCAAATCGTATATTTGCAAGTTGAGTCTTTTTTTTTTCAAAGCGCCGCGTCACTCATCCCGCATCCTCTATAGAGTACAATATCACAGGATATGTTATGTCGCACTTTTTTCTTTTAATTTTTTTTACCTGCACGGATATGAACACCACCAGTTTTAATTATTAGAATTCGCCAATCATTGCAGCTGAGCAGCGCCAACACATTTCGTCCACTTGTTCTAAGCTGTAAAATAATAACGTAAAAATACTAGAAAAAGGAATTTTGACAATTAGAATAAAAGTTGTAATTTTATGGGTGAGGTACCCTGCCAGCCAACACAGTTTCCAACCCTCAGACGGACCAACACCGGCTTCGTCTTGCTCAGTACTTTTAAGTGAAACACGCTGGTTTGTTTGATTAGTTTGTTTCTCGTACTCTTCTTATTCTTCCTCTTAGTCTTGGTTCAATTTAAATAAATGTAATATGTACAGGCTTTTGTACATCAAATGAAAAGTAATTTTGTACTCTATTTAAGTAATCTGAATTTTGAAAAGGGTTAATAGGGCACTTTTTTTTATTAAAATAATAATAATCTTTTTGTTTAAATCTTTCAAGCATAGTAAGTAAGAAATCTTTCAAGCATATATTTATATATATATATGTATCAAATTAAAGGCATTTTAATTACCTATTTTCTGGTGTCAGCATTTAAGAAATCGGGTGGCGCCCATAATACTCATTTGCACAAGAATTGTTATATACCCTTGAAATCACTTAAATATTCCTAACAAGCCCCACTATTTACTTTTTCCATGGGGAGGAGTCGGTATTCTGCACTTATACCGAAATGATAGAAAGAAAATGTGGAATAACATACTTTATTCTACATATGTGTACATAGACATTTGTTTAAATTTCTGTATATTTGTATATGTACAAATTCCAATTATCATATTTTGTTTTCATTTCCGGTTCCCCAGATCTAAATTAACCACATCAATTAGTGTTATAAGTTACGTCTAATTAGATTGATGTATATTTAAATATTATTTATCCATTGTAATATTATATAACAGAAAAAAAAATATAATGCCCATTGAAATGCATACATATGTACTTACATATACATACATACCATATATAAATGTTTACAAAAAAACAAACAATAAAAAAAAGTTGCAGAACTTCAAGATTTGTTTTGATATTCATAACTGTTTTTATTATCAATATTCAGTTTGATGACTTCCGTTTGATATAGATTTTTTTAATGTGTCGTTTATATTAGAAATGAAACGCGCTTTTTAGTTCTCGATAGTCTATTCTTTAACGTTGCTTACATAGAACTAAAATGAAGTATAACAATTTAAAATGAAATAAGAGAGTGACAATTCAAGGTTGCATGAAAATGTATGTTGGTAGTCGATACTACTTTGCTGCGCCAACACCTCCCCTCGAAGTAGTGAGGCTACTTGTCATGCCTAATGCTGTTGAACATTTGCAATGCTTGATGCTGTTTAAACTTTTTGTGAGGACGTCTGCTGGCATATCTTCAGTTGGCATGTAAGTAAGCGAAATCTTTCCGCTTTGATAGCATTCTTTGACGAAATGATGGCGTACGTCGATGTGTTTCGTACGCGAACTGTAGCCCCAGCCCTGAATGAGTTTTTGAGCGCTTTGGCTATCATTGAATAGCGTTACATTTTGAGATGATATCCCCAAGTCTTTTAAAATGCCTTGGAGATACATTGCTTCTTTCGTTGCTTCTGTTATAGCCATGTATTCGGCTTCTGTGCTGGAAAGTGCGACGGTACGCAGTTTGCGCGCCTCCCAGCTTACTGCTGCACCTGCTAGAACAAACGCGTATCCGCTGTAGGACCGTCTATCTATCAAGTTCGCTCCCCAATCTGCGTCGACAACACCGTAAAGTGTTTTGTTGTTTTGTACGAATAGAAGACCGTAGTTTTTGGTACCATTTAAGTATCGAAGTATTCGCTTTGCTGCTTTCCAGTGCTCTTCATTGTAGTTTGTATTAAACTGGCTCATGTAATTTACTGCAAATGCTATGTCTGGTCGTGTTGTAACTGCCAAGTACATGAGGGCGCCTATTAAGCTTTGGTAAGGGTACCTTTCCATTACTTCTGTGTTGATTTCGGTTGGCTTTTCAATTTTAAAGTTTGTCTCCAGGGGCGTTTTAGCTGGTTTACATTCGGTCATTTTGAATCTTTCTAGAATGGTTTGAATATAACTTTTTTGCAACAAAAATACTTTGTGTTCTCCCAAGTTTTGCTGGAAGTCAACACCCAGGCAACGTTTCACTGGACCGATATCCTTAATCTCGAAGGACTCGCTTAAAGCCTTTTTCAAGCTTTTAAGCCACATTTTATCATTTGACGCTAATAATAAGTCATCTACATATATTGTTATAAGTAATATCTGTTTACCTTTTTGTTTAGTAAAAAGACATGGATCTTGCGTTGAAGCCTTTAATCCAAGCTGCTTTAGTTTAGTTGTTAAACGATTGTACTACATAAGACCTGACTGTCGAAGCCCATACAACGCTTTCTTTAGTAGACATACAGAATTTTTCTTCTGCAACCCAGCTAACCATTCATGAGTTGTCTTTTCGACGTTTTTATTATGTTTCGTTAAACCATGACAGCCCACTGGTTGACCTGTTTTTATTTTGTTTAAAACTTCAAATAACATTTCTGGAACTTCCATATATACAGGTTCATCGAGCTCACCGTTGAGATACGCTGTGACTACATCCATTTGGTGGATTTCCAAATCCATTTCAGCTGCTAAAGCTGCAAGTAAATGAATTGACGTAGAACGTGCTACTGGCGAATAAGTATCGTGGAAATCCTCCCCTTGTATTTGGGCGTATCCTTTGGCCACGAGACGTGCTTTCTTCCTACCATTTTCTTTGGTTCGAAATACCAATCGACTTCCAACTACCTTGCGTTGGGTGGGTCTATCGACGATGATCCAAGTTCGATTTGAAATTAATGCCAAGTATTCATCTTCGATGGCCTTTTGCCATTCATCTAGCCTGTTTTCNAATATTGCAAGTAAATCATCACCAATTTCAACACCAATTTCTTTAAGCTTCGCAACTGCGTCGAAGAAATCATTAAGATGGTTTCTAACTAAATCTGTATCTTTCATACGTGAGAGCGCTACTCTTTTCAACAGTGTTGCTTTTCGAGCAGGCCTTTTTGACTCAAATGTAGCTTGCAACTTTTGCCACATTTTCCGCGAATTGCTGCACTCTGCTATGAGATTCAATTCTGCTGGACTAATTGCTAGCATGATGTCGGCACATGCTTTTTGATCATTTGTTTTCCACAAAACTGCGCCTGCTGCGTCATCCGGACACTCTATATTACCGTTTACATATGCCCATAAATCGTTTTTGATTAAGACCGCACACATATGTAATTTCCAAGTGTCGTAATTTTCTGCATTGAGCGGCTCGATACGAACGACTCCCGCCATGTTTGAAAATTTCTTCAAATTTCTTTTCGAAATGTATACCGCGCGCGTAACCGCAAAAACTTTTCGTTTTATAATTAATTTCACGCCGTTGGAAAATTAAAATACTTTTCTTCAATATGAAACACGTCGCGATGGGTCTGAGCCCATAACCTATTAGAAATGAAACGCGCTTTTTAGTTCTCGATAGTCTATTCTTTAACGTTGCTTACATAGAACTAAAATGAAGTATAACAATTTAAAATGAAATAAGAGAGTGACAATTCAAGGTTGCATGAAAATGTATGTTGGTAGTCGATACTACTTTGCTGCGCCAACAGTTTAAATACGTTGAAAGCAATTTTTCGAGCAAGTAGTTGAATATTAGTTAAACTTGTTTAAAAACATGTTATAATTTAATGATATTTATTTATTAGATATTTATAATTCTCAAGTGCCCAGTGTTGTTTCTTCAGCTTAATTACTTTTGAGTGTATTGGGGGATAAATATATTTAAACGATTTTTATGTATGTAAAAAAACAAATTCTTGAAGACTTGTGTTAAATTATAAATGTATTAGCTTTTTCCCAACAGGTAACTGAGTTTTGTCGCTACTACACATAAGAAGAATGTATCAATTTCAAAATTGTTGAACTTAAATTTCAAGTAAGTAATGAAACTAAATTATCTATAAATAAGAGTTTTTAGCCGCTGTGATCCTCCGCAATATTTCAATTAAATATTAAAGAAGCCAAACAAATGTTTATTCGAAAAAGATATTAAAAGTTAATTAAAAGAAAAGCATATAAAAGTATACTCATATGTATACAAATAGTGTATATATATATGTATGTATACATATTATTATAAAGAAAAGAAAATAAAACAGAATACAACATATTATTTACTTTAAGTATGTACGTGTTATATATGTAAAGATGTGCTGCACTAGACTGCTGCCACAAATATTAAACATACCAAATCATTTTTCTTATATTTATAGCCTACTTTTCTCAAGACACATCAGACGAAAACACAAATGATGGGTTCACATTTACCTTAAGTTTGAAAATATCTAACGCCCGAATATAAAGTTTTTGTTTTTAAATATTGTAGAATTGAAATGCCAGAAGTAAGCTGCATTTTGTGTCAAAAGTTAGTGCCCTTCACTTTTCCGTCACAGATTTTCTTTCTGGCTCAGATTCGAAGAGAATGAAGCTAGTAAGGGATGCCACTCTAACGGTTATCTGTTCTTTAGATACTTGGAACAAACCCGAGGAGCTAAATTCGAAATTTGTCGATACCCAGGCTGAGTAAAATTTAAATATGCGTTACGAATTACATACATTTATATATATATGCTACGTGCCACAAACTAACACCTCTGCACGAACCGAAGAAGTGATCGGCATCAGTCGTCGCAAAGTTTTGAGCAGCAGCAATCGTTTATTTTAATTAAAGTTTATATATTTTTTATTATATCTTACAAATGTATTACAACTATATTTAAACTTCGCAAATACAACTATTCATTCATGTTTACATGGGGGCTCAAGCGAAGAGCGAAAAAATATAGATTGAAATGATATATTCAAGTAAGAAGGAAAAGAATGACGCAATAAGAAAAGATTCGCAGAAAAACTTACGATGTCTCAACTTAGCAACAAGCGTGATCACAGTAAGCAGGAAAACACAGAAGTTGGAAATAAGCAGAGAAAATCAGCAGCTAGCGCTAAGCAAGTAAGCAGAACAAAAGCCCAGAAGACGAAGCTAGCAAGAAATTCGAAGAAACAGAAAACAGCAAAGTGAAACAAAAAGCAGAGCAGTGTAGAGTTGAGCGAGGAGAACAATAAAACGAAAAAGAAGTAAGAGGAGAAACAGCAGCCATGTGTAGCAACAATGATTTCGGCGAATTGATGAAAGCGTTTATGCAAAAAATGGATGATACCAGTACGATTGAAGCTTTTGCCAAAGTATTATCCTCTTATGATGGAATATCC